AAAAATCTCGGATTTCCGCCCGCCGCCGAGCTAGGCGGCACAGGCCGCGTGTTGGGGAGGGCACTTCCCCCGATCCATGGATTGGGCGACCGCGCGCCAAATCCATGGATCGCTGATCCATGCTTGCGCGCCCCCGATTGTGGGTGGGGGGAGGTTCGAGGTTCGGGGATTCGCGAAAAAGATCCGCGCCGGATCTCCGAAAGTTTGTGCTTCTGTCACGGCTTGTTCCCCGAGGATCGGGGGCCGGGGCCGAGGCGCCTGCTGGCCCCGAGGAGTTCAGTCGCTGCGCATCGCGCGGAGAGGGGCCTCGGGGATTCGCTGGCGTGTTCCGGCGGCTCTCGGCGGTTCTCCGGCCTCGGGCTGCCTTCGGGCAGCTCAGCTGCGCCTCGCCGGGAGCGTCCCGGGGCTGCCCGGGATCGTCCCGAACGGCCGCCAGAGGCCCGACGAGCCATGGCCCGGAAGAGCCAGGAGCGGGAGGTCAGGGGCAAGGATGTCGCTATCGGGGGCCTGTCGGCGATCTACCGCCGGTTCACGCTCGGTGCCCCCCCCCCGCTTACCCTGGCCTTCCAGAGTTAGAAAATAGCCCTCCAGACCTGTTGACCTATCTGGACTGCTTCAAACCTCGACAGGAGTTGGGACGCCAAGGTCCTGGTGCTATTGTTTAGCCCTCGTGGAAGGTCAGGGTAGGTGGTCCCCCCCTGCGTGACCTTGCCCTTCAATCCTGGGCCCCGCAGCGGCGTGAGATGCCTCCCTGGCCAAGCCCGGAGGGCGCCTGCAGGGCGCCTGCTCCCAGGATGGGTCTGGCCCGGGGCAGCAGACATCCATGCAGGGTTCGTCGCCCTGCGCCCCGCCTCGGCGGTCGACGGCCTCCGAGGGGCCGCCGCAGCACGCGCTGCAGGGAGGGCCGCACTGAGGGCGGATGGCGGCGGGTCGCGCTGGCGTCCCAGCCTGGTCGATCCATCTATCGTCGATCGATCCTTGATCGCTGCTCGTCGGCACACGATCAATCAACGGTCGGCACACAATCCTGGATCGGGAGAGAGTGTGATGTATTGAGACAGCGAGAGAGAGAGAGAGAGCGAGAAAGAGAGAGGGCGAGAGAGAGAACAAGAGGCAGATCAAGTTGCGGCATGGTCTACCGTGCAGTCAGACGGCCAGTCTCCGAAACCCATCCTCAATTGGAGGCGGTCCTCGCGCGGCCACTCTGCAGGTCGATCTCTTCAGTGCGCTGGGGAAGGACTTCTTCGCCACCGGCGACGCCGCCAGCGACCCCAGCGCGGAAGTGGCCGCCGCTGCCGCTGCAGCGGAGGCTGTGGGGGGGCTCCGGTTCGAAGAGCAAGACTCTGTCCAATCGCAAACGTTCGAAGGTCTTCGAAGGTCCTCGCGGGGTTCCTATATCGGTGCTGGAGCCCCCTCGCTCCTGTCGCGCTGCGCGCGCCAGGGAGGCCGGTCTTGGGGTCCTGGGGCTCGCGGGGAAGCACCGGCGGCAGCCTCGCCGCGCAGGGCTTCCGAGAGCGGAGGTGGGCTCGATGCCCTCGCGCGGTGGCAGAGACCGGGGGGCCCCCTCCGCCAGAGGCAGGAGCTTGCCGCATCTGCCCGGAGGCGACGAATGGGGCGAGCAGCCCAGGGGAGAGCAATGCGCGTAGCCAGGGGCGCCGATGATCCAGGTCGTCGGCGAGGCTCCTGGGCGAACACGTACGGTGCCCGCCGTTGGGCTATCCGCCCTTTATCGTCGCCGCCGAGTTCGGTCGAGGCGCTGCAAGAAGTGATGGGCCTGTTTTCCACCACCACCATAAGTTGAAGGGGGAGGGGATCCTCCTCCTCCTCCTCCTCCTCCTCCTCCTCCTCCTCCTCCTCTTCGTCCTCCTCCTCGTCCTCCACCTCCTTCTCCCCTCCAACTGATTTCGGTGGTGGTGGAATACAGGCCCGTCAAGAGGGGCTGGGCCACTTCGGGCCCCAGAGGGGCTGGGCCACTTCGGGCCCCAGAGGGGTGCTCTGATCTCCAGGACGTTCCCGAGGCGCAGGTCAGGGAGCCCTGTTCGTGGCCGAGGCTCGCCGTGGACAGAAGAGCCGCATCCCTCCCTTGTGCAGCGTTCATTGGGGCAGTGCGATGGCTGTACGTTGGAGACCCATGCCAAGCAACACCCTGCTTGCCTGCAGGGCGCCCTGGTCCGAGGTGGGGATTTATCCATAACGACCGCCTGGGGGATCAATCTTCGCGGACCTCCACAGGCGGTGGATATTGATATATGATATACTCGGGCCCCCCGGGGCCAGAATAGCCCGCTGGGGCACCAGAACGTCGGTTCCCAGGCGGTGGATATGTATAGATCCCCGCCTCGCACCTGGGCTTCTTGGGTTTCGATGGTGTTGCTGCGGAGAGCGTGACGCTCACACACCAGAGATCGAGGGACGTCCTGGGGTCTCAGGGTGGGGTTTCTTGTGGCAGGTTTCTTGTGGTCGAGCCCCCTGCTGTACCCGCATGTCCTGCCGATCCTTCTCCGCGTCCGCTCTGCGTCTGCGCCCCGCACGTCCTCGTCCGACGGCCCTCCCCACTGCTTCGTTCCGACCGCAGGCCGCCCCTCCCACGTGTCGTGCAGAAGCCTCAGGAGCGGAGGGTTCGGGGCGATTTTCTGCCTCGCGGGGCCCTTTGCCTGGCCCCTGGGGCCCCGAGCCGTCAAAAGCCCGCTCCAGACACAGAGCCGCTCCGCTGTGGCAAAATCACGGCGTCGGACGTGGGGCGCCGCGCTGGCGACTGCCGGCCCAGGGGCGCCGTCGTCCTCGGAAGCTCGGGAAGGCCAGGCCCCTTGTGGGGGCGCGAAGGTCGTCGCGTCTTGCGGGTCGCTCGGTCTGGGCCAGGGAGTGGCTCTTTTCCAGGGGGGCGGCCACGAAGGTGGCCGCGCGTCGCGGGGCTCGGAGCGCGAAGTTCGGTCGCCTGGATCTCAGATGAAGATGATTGTGCCCCTGTGTAGGCGTTGTGGCTCGACGTGATTTGTTCAGCTCTGTTTTGATGGCGTTCGCAGGCCATACGGGGTTCACGGCTCTTGAGCAAGCCAGCCGGCCCCCCATGACGTGCGGGATTTTTGGCGGCACATCTCGTTCACATAGAGACGGCAAGTATCACAACGACAGCGCCGCTCACAGTTCGCGGTGGCGCCGATGGTTTGAGTTGCACGGGCCAGCAGGCTCCGTGGTCATCACAGATATTTCTCCTCGGGTCTCCTTCCGCAACCATTGTGGTCCAAGCCATTTTCACGCCATCAACATCTACCACCCTACCCACGAGTTTCTACATTTGCCGTGCTACTACCCGCTTCATGTAAGCATCATGCTGCGCTCTGTCGTGCTCCTGGTGAGCGCCGCCAGCGCGTCTGGGATTCTCCAGGGGAGCCTGCCTGGCGGAGAAGCCGTGCCCCCGCCAGCAGGGGGACTGACCGCCAGCCAGCGGCTCCGCCAGAAGCGGCTGCGCCGCCTCACAGGCCAGGGCCCCCCAGATGCCAGCGAGGAGGCGACGCTGTCTCGCCACCAGCATCCAGCGGCTCGGGCTGCGGCGGCCCCGACGGCGAGCCCGACCTCGTCTCCGACCGCGCCTCCAACGATCTCGCCGACGAACAGCACGACCGCTGTCTCCACGACGGCCCCGACGGCGAGCTCGACCTCGTCTCCGATCCTGCCTCCACCGCTCTCGCCCACGAGCAGCCCGCCCGCTGTGCCCACGCCAGATGCCCGCGAGAAGGCGACATCGGCACGCGGCCAGCAGCCAGCAGCACGGGTTGGGACGGCTGCGACGGCGAGCCCGACCTCGTCGGCGGCTGCGCCGCCAACGATCGCGCCGACGAGCAGCCTGGCCACCGTCCCCGCGCCGAGTCCGACCGCGGTCCCGCGGCCGGGGGGTCGGGGCGTTCCGTGCAGATGTTGTCTTGGGCAGCCCCCGGGGTCCGCCAGTGATCGGAGGCTGTCAGAAGGCTTCGTCGGACAAGGTCGGGTTCGCGAGACCTGAGGCCCCCCCCCTCGCCCGACCTGAGGCCCCCCAGCTCGACCTGAGGCGCCGCAGCAGCCGTCGAAAAACCACCCTTCTCGAACAAGGCCTTCTCGCCGCTCCTGCAGTGAGAGGACGGGGCTCCCGCAGCCCGGCGCCACGAGCCACGGCCCCACGGCCGGTGTTTCCCCCTGCAGGGCCTCGGGAGGCCCGCTCCGGGCCTCGGGGCCATCGGAGAAAGCGGACCCGGGAGGAGCAGCTGGTCGCGGGCAGAGGATCGGGAGTTCTGCGGCGCTCGGCTGGGGGGGGTCATGGCCGCACGATGTTTGTCACCAGCCTCGAGGGCCTCGAACCTATCCCTATCCCTAAGATTGACACGCTAAAAGGAGATGACAATCTTAGGGATACACCCTCAGAAACTGAGGTTTAGAGGCTCACCACCGAAAAACTCACCCCAAGACGGGAGCAGCGGAAAGGCGCCAGCCAAAAGAAATCAGGACCACGAGGCAACAGCGATGGACCGACGATTTTCGGTCCTGACAGATGATCCGGGTGCCGCCGAGAGCGGCGGCTTCCTTTGCTGAAGTCCAGAGGCGGGCTGGCTGGGCGACGGGCACAGCGGTTGGCCCCGCTCTGAACTCACAATCCCCAATACCGGGAAAGGAGGCAGAAAAGTACGAAGACGAAAGAAGGGAGGGAGGGAACAGGGAGAACTTGAGACGGAGAACACATGCATAACACGTTATACAGACGGCGCATCTGCTGCTCCCCGCCCCCCCCCGATGTCCAAGGTAAAGGTCGGGGGGGGGGAAGGGGTGAGAGGTGGAGGCCCGAAAAATTCATTGTATCTTATACAACACACATTTAGAGGCTCACCACCGAAAAACTCACCCCAAGACAGGAGCAGCGGAAAGGCGCCAGCCAAAAGAAATCAGGACCACGAGGCAACAGCGATGGACCGACGATTTTCGGTCCTGACAGATGATCCGGGTGCCGCCGAGAGCGGCGGCTTCCTTTGCTGAAGTCCAGAGGCGGGCTGGCTGGGCGACGGGCACAGCGGTTGGCCCCGCTCTGAACTCACAATCCCCAACCCACCGCTGATACGCACAGCGCCTGGATGATGTGGCCCAGGGCTCTGGGTGGGCGGGGTTGCCACGTCAGCCGAAATCATTCTGCCTCCGCCGAACCAAAAAATCAAATGAGTAGAAGCACTCACTCTCGCGCCATCTTTGGACGCGGTGCCTGTCTGGCCAAGAGCTCACGGCCACGCGCCATCACGGCGGCAGGCACAGCCGCCCTCGCGGCCACCAAGGCGTGCGTCTTCATGTAGCGCAGCACCGACTTCTCCGAAGCCCAGCGGCCCCGCCGCTGGATGGCCCACACCGTCCGGTAGCCCTCCGCCGTGTCGTGGCTGGGGCCAGAGTGCCTCGCGGAGTGGGCGGGGAAGGCGGCGATGCCGATGTCGTCACTGGCCTTCCGAAGGGCCCGACGGTAGGACTCCACCGAGCAGCCGAAGACCAGCTCGCCCGGCTTCTTGGCGGCCTTGCGCGCCCGCAGCATGTCGGCGATGTGCGGGCGATCAATCAGCACGCCCTGCCTCACTCCCGTCTTGGTGCGCTCGTTCCGCTCCTGCACTCCCAGCTTGATGGCCACCACGTCGTTGTCGGCGTCCACGATGTCCTCGGCCCGCAGCGCGAAGACCTCCGCCGAGCGCAGGTAGGCGTCGACCGCCAGCGCTGCTGCATCTGCTGCCTCCACGGCCCCGGCCAGCCTCATGGCCTCGTCCAGGGCGGCCCACACCTCGAGCGGCTGGGGCCCACCCTCGCCGGCAACGTGCATCTTGTGCCACGCCCGCAGGGCGCGGTTGGCGCGCGGAAGGCCCGTAGACAGCTCAGGCCACACGAACGCCATGCCGTGCACCACGTAGTCGCCCCTGTGCGGGCCCACCTCCTCGTCCTCGACCAGGTAGTCTAGGTAGACCAGGATGGAGTTGTCGATCTCCTCCCTGCGCATCATGGGAAGGTCGAGGTCCAGCGCGAACTCCAGGAATCGCCGCACGTTTCGGGGGCGGCAAAGAGGGGGGTGATGACTAGGGGGGGGTGGATATCATGGCGGGGGCCATGATATTTCCCCAGATTTCATGGCGCCTCTTCTTATTTCATTACGTCCCTGGCCCCCCCGCTGGGCCGCGCACATGCCGCCGGTCATGATTTGCACCCCCCCCTCTTTGACGCCCCCCTCTTTGCCGCTCCCGAACGTTGGGCACGTAGCAGTTGAGGGCCGTCTTCTTCCCCACCGAGTAGGGCAGAAGCGAGAGCCCCGCCTCCGAG